TCTGCCTGCTTGCAGGTGCTTTAATCTGCGAGCTATTTGGCCGGCCCTCCCTCTTTTTATTTTGCTAGTATCAGATTCTCTTACATTTTCTCCCAGTCAGAAGTTTGGGAGTGACTTAGCTGGGAGGGTACTACCTTAAAATCTTTCACTAGGTTTTAACTGAGATGTTGATGAAGACTGTAGGCAATTATCTGGGGCTGGAAATCAGCTTCCAGGATGGGGCAGCCACTCACTGGGCGGTTGGGAAGGGTGCAGTTGCTCCACATGGAGCCCTCCCCAGGGACGCTTCAGTGCCATGACTTGGCTGCTTGCTTCTCCCAGGGGATGATGAAAGGGCACAGGGCTGGGGGTCTGGGTTGTAGACTTTTATGACCTAGTTTGAGAAGTCACACAAGGTCAGTCTTGTTGGCCACCTTTTCTTCATTACAAGAGGCTGTAAGTCTGGCCCACAGTCAAGGGGAACTAGGCTTCACATTTCAAGGGAAGGATTATCAGAAGATTGGTTGGTGACCTGTTAAAAGGGTTGGAGGGTGGGAAACAACTGGAGAACAAAGTCAGTGCTGGAAGATAGTCACTTCTCATTGTACATTTTTTAAAATTATGGATCAGATTCTGTGAGCCAAATAATTAATTTCTTTTTTCCCCAAACATTTGAAGCCGTTTACTAAAGACTGGGAGGAGAGATAAAGGAACAAAGATTTGAAGGGGCTATCGATGGGAGAAACTAGCTCAAGTGAAACTGACCTTGACTCAGACAGTAAAAAAGGGAAGAGCTTGCTGCCCCCCCCAGCATTCTCATTTTCCAGTACAGTAATTCTAGATGATGGATTTGCGGAGGGTGAGCCGCCCCCCGTGGCCACGTTTTATCTTGAATACTGGATGGCTCACAATGCCGTTTCTGGATAATGTTTGTCTTTATCGACCTTTTACTCCTCCAAACACCTCTCAGGTTTGACAGCTATTCTTTAACATAATTTGCACAAACCGCCAAGCACAACAATAGGATTTAACCTAGTAATTACATCGAGAGAGATTTAACGTGTACAAAGACGAGGCATGAAACCCAACAGGTCTTGCTCTCCCTATCAAAGGATCCCCGAGGCCATGTGTACAGCCGTGTGCAGCACTAACTGCAGTACTCACAGCGTCCCGTCGGGGGCAAAGAAAGAAGAAAAGTTTAAGAAACAGAAGCAGCCTATTTGCGTAACCTGTCCACGCCTAGCAAACACGACACGTGCACTTCCAGCGCTTCAGCCGCGGCCGCCGCTCCGGAAGGGCCGGGGAGTCCGGGCGGGGAGCGCCCCTCAGCGCCGTCGGCCCAGCGGGATGCCCGCCGCGGCGGCCGCCTCCGAGGACGCTCGTGTGTCGGGCTCAGCATGAGCGGGGCCCGCCCGGCGCGGCGCGGCCCTCTTCGGGTCCCTCCTCGGTCGTCGGGGGCGAGGAAGGAGGACGGGACCGGCAGCCCCGCGGGGCGCCGTCGCCAGCGCCGCCCCCTCGGCTGCTTCCGGGGCTCCGCGCCCGCCCCGCGCCGTCGCTGCCACATCTCCGGTGACGTCAGCCCGCGCCGCCATATTGGAGAGGCGCCGCCGCTGCCTCCGCGCCGGATTCCAGCCCGTGTGGGGGCCGCGGCGCGGGAGGAAGGCGCCCCTCTCCCGCCCCGCCGGCGCCCGGCCCGCCCTCTTCGCTTCGACCGCCGTCTCCCCATGACTGCCTCCGGTCTTGCTACCGACGGACGTCGCCCCAGCGCCGGGATTTAACCCGGAAGCTTGGGTCGGGCCCGGGGCGGGGAGGAGGAGGGAAGCCCGGTCAGTCCCGCGTCCCCCTCGGGCCGGCGCGGCGCCTGGGCCGGAGCCATGACCTCGCTGACCCAGCGCAGCTCGGGCCTGGTGCAGCGGCGCACCGAGGCTTCTCGCAGCGCCGCCGACAAGGAGCGGGCGGCGGGCGGCGGCGGCGGCAGCGGCGAGGACGAGGCGCAGAGCCGCCGCGAGGAGCAGGACGACGACGACAAGGGCGACTCCAAGGAAACGCGGCTGACCCTGATGGAGGAGGTGCTCCTGTTGGGCCTCAAGGACCGAGAGGTGCGGGCGCAGCGGCTGCCGTACGGGGGCGGGGCGGCGGCGGGCGGCGGCGGGCGCTGGAGCCAGGTGGGCCCCAGGTGGGCTCCAGGTGGGCGCCAGGTGGGCCCCAGGTGGGCCCCAGGTGGGCTCCAGGTGGGCTCCAGGTGGGCTCCAGGTGGGCGCCCGCTTCTGGTCCGCACACCTGCACACCTCGTTCCCGAGCCCCGCGCACGGCAGCGGCCGACTTTGCCCGAGGAGATTGGAGTGAGTGTGTTTCCAACTGTGCGGCCGGGTGCCTCCCAGGTCACAGTGGTTCAGATTGCTCGGATTTTTCCTTTCCGTTTCCATTGTGTCATTTGAACACCTCCGCCGTGTGCGTTTCCCCCTCGTTCTTTTTTCCCAAGTGTGTAGTCCGTGTAGACCCTAGATTGCAATTCCAACCTTGAGGATGCCGGGGAGACAAGCACCCGGGATCACCGGCGCCCCGAGCGCTGGGGGTTTGCGGGTAAAGGAGGACCTAGGAGGTAGCTACCGATCTGCTCGGTAAGGGACTTTTTAAACTTCGATTAAGGCCTGGTTTAGAATTATGAAAACACTGAGAGTAGAAGTTAATTTATTGAGTCAAGGTAAAAGTAAGAATTTTCATGAAACTTGGAAAATGGTTTTTTAAAAAACAAAAATTTTCATATTTTAAAGACGTGGACAATGATTTTTCTAGGTGAACTTGTTTTTAGGTGAGATTATTTTTAGTGTTGCTGTTACGTTTTACCAGTTGACTGTTCTCAAAGTTTTGTGATTTTAAGAAGACTTTTCTCATGAGGTACTTAAAATACTAGGCTTGTGGTTTGTTGACAGGCCTCAGAAGTTTCAATAGATACTTCTCTGTATACAAATGTTTGAAAATGATCATTCTCCCCACTATCTCTAGAGTTTTCACAGAAAAAAAGTTGAAACAGTGCTACAGTGAGCACCTGTATATACTCAGCAGCAAGACTGCAGTTAACATTTTTTCAGTGTTTGCTTTATTACCTATTTGTTCATCTATAGAAGTGGTGTTTTGATCACGCAGACCTGTGGACAACACCGGGGTTCGACATTCTCTAAGTGATATGTAGTGAGATGATCCAGGAAGCTTGTTTTGTTTTTCTCAGCGTGAAAACTACAGACAACACGTTTTACTAGTCAGATACAAAAGTATCTGAGAGTGTGTGTTTGTGAACACCAGACCTTTATACTGAACTACACCACTAGCCCTTTTTTTTATTTTTAAAATTTACATTTTATTTATTTATTTATTTTGCTATCCTGGAGGTTGAACCCAGGATTTTTACATACAGCTATATCCCCAGTTCATTAAAAAAAATTATTTGGAGGCAGAGTCTGACTAAATTTCCCAGGTAGGTTTGATTTTGTAATGGTTTTGCTTCAGCCTTTCTGTGTGCTGGGTTTAGAGGTGTGTGTCACCATATTTGGCTTAAGTTATTTAGTTTTAGGTCCATATTCCAAATTCAAGAAGGTGGGCAAAAATTTCATCCCTGTAGAGCAACTTTTCTTAGTTTCCCAGAACTTTTCAGCAATAGGTGAGTTTTACATGAACTCATTGAAGAAGTTTAGTAACATGAACTGGAGTTTACCTGACATCTTGATTTCACAGGTTGTAATAAGTCACTTTGGGAAAAGTTGACGTTCTCTCGCTGTAAAAAAGGCCCCAGTACCTGTACTGAGTTGTAATGAAAATAGGCTTTATGTGAATTTTGTTTTTGTGCCACGGATGAAAAAGTGAAGTAGATGTTAGTGTTGTAGTAATGTGATTTTAGAATATATTTACATGATTTTTAAGGCTTTACAAATTGGAATCTTAGCAATAAATGGGTCCCTCCCCGTTTGGGACAAATGCGGATTAGGGATTTCAAAGACTATTGTAAACGTGAAATAAAAACCATGTTCTTATTAACCATAGGTTAATTTTGCCCAATTGCTTGGCTCTCTTTCTGGAGTTAAGGTTCCATGTTCTTGTCTGGAACAAGGAATTGAACAAAACAAGCAAAAAAACAGTGGCATGATTTATTTGAAAAAAGAAAAGTAAAGTGCAGGAGAAGAAGTTGGTTCAGCTGAGCAAGCTCGGGCCAAGAGAAAGGAAAAAAGCAAGATGAAAGAACACCCTGGAGAAATTAGGGTGGGCTGTCCTGAGGAAAGCCTCGAAAGTAAATGTTAACAAGAATAACATTTTGCTTTATTGATTTTTGATACTTCTGTGTGGCTAGAACTGTAAAACTAAAACCTAAAACCAAACTAGAACAAAAACTAGGTTTTGGTGTTGCGTTACAGTATGAGAAATGGTGATAAAGTACCTCTTTGTTTTTCACTTACGTTATTCTAAATGTTTAAGCTAAAGCTATTGACCTGCTTTTATTTTCTATGATTGGATTTCATGAAGACAGTCTGAAGTATTTGTTGAAATTTAATGGTACTTCCATGATTTAGACAACTTGATAGTTCTTTGGCAGTAATTGAAACCATCTGTTGTGTTTATTTCGTTTTAGTGGAGACTATACTTTGCAAGCCATGGCAGAGATCCAGACATTAGCTATTTCTGAGTCTTTCTTTCTTTCTTTCTTTCTTTCTTTCTTTCTTTCTTTCTTTCTTTCTTTCTTTCTTTCTTTTTCCTTTTTGGGGACCAGGAATTGAACTCAGGACTCATGCTTGCCAGACAGGTGCTGTGCACTGCTCTAAAGGCCCAGCTTCTCTGAGCATTTCTTTTTTCTTGTTTTTGGTTGTATACTTGGGATCAAACTCAGGACCTTGTGCTTGCCAGACAGGCACTTACGTTGCTGAGTTACTCCCCAGCCCTCTGAGCATTTTTTTGTTGAGTTCAGAAACCGTGTAGGGAGTTATTTTCCCACTTCTTTGGGTGAGTCTTGGGTATTCGCTGACTGGGAGTTTGTATTACCTTAGACTTTGGTTTTAGAGACTAGCCTCTGTGGTTTTCCTTTCGTTGGACTCTGTAAACCCAATCCAATTCGCTCCTGTTTTTCTCCTTTGGAGGTTCCTCCTCCCTGACAGCACTCTTTAGGAGGCAAGAATTGGTTTCTTACTGTGATACTGGGCATTTATGCTTTTCATATTAGATTTCAGTTTACTGGTTATTAACAAGTTTTAAACTTTAGTCATAATCTGTAGTTGAATTAATTCACTAATACATAATTTCTAATTGTGTCCATCTTAGTTAATGGGTACTTCTAAGATACAGTGTTTAAAAAATTAGGGTCAGTGTGTATGTTTGTAATCCCAGGACTGGGAAGCTGAGGCAGGAGGATTGCCATAAAAATTTAAAGCCTGCTTGGATTACATAGTCAGTTCAAGGCCAGCCTGAACTATGTAGCAAGACCCTGCCTTAGAAAACAAAACAAAACAAAAACAAAAAGCACTAAATTGGGCAAGTCATTAATGTTGGACATAAGTGTGAGGTAGTCATATCTGAAATCAACGTGATCAATTTTAAGACATTGCCAAATGAAAGTAATTTTATTTTGATTTTTAAAAAAACAAGCTTACTAATTTTTTGGCTCTTTGAAATGTTATGTTTGAAAAATATTAAACCTGTAGAAAAATACACAATAGAAGTGATGAATTTTCACAAACTGAATGCTGTTAAACTAACCCCTTCAAAGGCAATAAACAATATGATCAACTCGCCAGATACCTTATTTAAACTTTTCCAGCCACTACCCATCCACCCAATCTTCAAGGGTAACCATAGCTTAATTTTTTTTTTTTTTTTTTTTTTGGTGTGTGCGGACTGGGGATTGAACTCAGGCCCTTGCACCTGTCAGGGAAGCGCTTATTTTACTGCGCCATCTCCCCAGCCCAAGTAGCTTAATTTTAATATTCAGCATAGGTTAATTTTGCCCAGTTTTGTTTTTATTTTTTAAAGAAACTTAAAAAAAAAAAAAACAAAAACCATTTTTCTTTATCTGGTACAGGGTCTCCCTACGCAGCTCGGGCTTGTAGTGATCCTCCTGTCTCAGCCTCCCCAGCACTGAGATTATAGGTGTGTGCCACCAGGCCTGGTTTTGGTGGCCAGCTTGGTGTGGGGGCTGGCATGGCATGCAGTACCAGGGATTGAACCCAGGTCCTTGTACTTGCCAGGCAGGCTCTTAGACTGCTGAGCTATTTCACCAGCCCTTGTTTTTATTTTTGAGTCAGGTATCATGATATACGTAGTTCATGCAGGCCTGCAGTTCACTATATATAGCCTAGGCTGGCCTGGAACTCTTAGGAGTTCTTCCTGAGGGCTGGGACTACAAGCAGGCACCACCACGCCCAGCTTTCATTCTTACCGACTTACCAGTTTACTTTTAACACATTTATAATCTACAGTAATGTAAAAATTACTTGGACCCAAGGTCAAATTGCTGGTAAGCAGGTGGTTTTGCTATTAGAATGTCCTAGCTATGCCCAAATGTTATCTGGGATCGCCTTCTAAAGGAGGCTTACCAGTTAAGCATTACAGAGTCCTGGGTTGCTTGGCTTTCTGGAGTTAAGATTCTAGGTTCTTGTCTGGAACAAGGAATTGAACAAAACAAGCAAAAAACAGTGGCATGGTTCATTTGGAAAAATAAAGAGTGTGGGAGAAACCGGTTCAGCTGAGCAAGCTTGGGCCAAGAGAAAGGAAAAAAAACAAGATGAAAGAATACCCTGGAGAAGTTATGGTGGCCTGTCCTAAGGAAATCTCAAGAGTAAGCTTTTCTTGGTGTTTGTATCTTTTGTACTGTCCAAATCTTTTTTTTTTTTTAACCAAGATTTAATTTATTTTCCTTGCTTTCTTCCTTCCTTCTTTTGTATTTTGGTAAGGGTATACAGGGTCTCATTACGTAGGTTGGACTTGCAGTGATCCACCAGTATTCAGCCTCCCAAGAGCTGGGATTACAGGCTCCTGCCACTGTGCCCAGTCTCAGTTGCCCTCTCAGGGTGCCCTGGGGGCTGGGTTGGCACTGCAGGCTGGGGGCTCAAACTCCTGGCCCCTACGTCTGCCTAAGTAGGCACTTTAATCTGTTGAGCTATTTGGCTGGCCCAATTACATTTATTTTTAACACATGGTACATATATCATAAAGATTTCATACTGAATAAATGATATTCAGTAAGCCACAGTGGAAAAAAAGGAGTTTACATCAAGTTTTAGCTACATTGTTGAAATACAAATATGCAGATTTTATCACAGAAAAAATTTTAATTGTGTGTCTTCCATCAGGAACTTCATCTGAACTTACAACCTTTTCACACCTCCATTAAAAATAAAACAAAAACCCAAGGGAAAAGAAAACTGTCTATTGATTGGCTGCTGAGACAGCAGGGACTTTTTACAGAGACCTGTACAGCATCACACAAAGAGGAGCGATTTTGGCAAGAGATTAAGTAGCTGTGTCTCGCTTTGTGCGGGTTACCGACTTGATGACTGGTCTTACTGTAGAGGGATAGCTGGGAGGGGGATCAAACTGGGGATCCAAGTGTACAGTCCAAATATTGAAACCCAAGAGAATTTATACATGTGGGTTCTGAAAGATGGTTCTGGGATCCTGTACCTCAGGCTGAGGCCATCCCATTGAAATCCTGCTCTGGAGAAGTTCACGTGCAGCACTTTGGGAACTGTTCCCTCTCTCCTGTTCTGGGATCTTTGTAATAGGTCTGCTTACTTCCCCAGCCAGTTTTACCTCGCCCTAATCTGTTCTAGTTTAGTTTTAGATTACCTGTTAAGGCTGTGTATGTGAGAATACAGTCAGGGCCGGGGCTATTGATGTTCCCCCGCTCCCCGAACTCGGGCCTTTTCCCTGAGCCACATTATCAGCCTTTTTTATTTTTGTGTTGAGATAGGGTCTTGCTAAGTCACTAAGTTGCCCAGGCTGTGTTCAAACTTGTGATTCTCTTGCCTCAGCCTCCCCAGAGTGCTGGCATTACAGCTAT